TTTTTTTTCCTCTTCTAAGTCCACCATCTCTCCCTCACCCTCTCGCTACCTGACTTCTCAGTATCTGCAGACTACGAGAGAGAGAGAGATTGGTGACTTTGGGACTTGACGACATTTGGATCCGGACTCAACATTGGGATTGAGACATTTGACGAGGGAATATTTGGGACCTGTGCCGAAGACTTGGTGTTGACGACATTCCCATCTCCCCCCTCTTCTTTGTCTGATCCCGTCCTCTTCGTCTGGTATGGTCTGGACCTGGCGCATTCTTCCTGTGTGTAGCGCCAGGCCCTTCACACCTTGCAATGATGATGAAGTATGTTGGGTCTGCATTGCGACATTGATTGGGTTGATCATTGGTATTTTGGCCTTCCGCTGCACTATCTTGTACTATGTGAGAGAGGTCGGTTCGTGTTCTGGTCTGTACCGTTATGGTATGCGACACTGAATGGCTTTGAAATTCTGCTCTTCTGTTGGCTGGCTGTTTTTGTAGCTCTTAGCTCATGTCTATCTGCCGATTTTGACAAACACGGCTGGAAATGAATTAGTTATGGATGGCAAAGCTACAGGAGCAACACTCAACAATATTCGCAATGAGCTGATTGCCAACATGCAGAAATTTGCTTCACAAGTAATATGCGGCTGCCCTATCTTTGCTGTTATTTGTTATTCTCTCATCATTCCACTCTTTTTGTATCTGCAGGATTTGAACTCATGCTCTCTTTATCAATAGCTACATGTGTGTAACATTCAACCACAGGGGCTGCTGTCTTCCTCCACCTATTCCTTACAATTATGGTCTCAATAGACACATCTAGAAAGCTTGTAGAAAACAGGTTGAGCATCATTGTGCTGCGTCTGCATGATGACTTTTAAGTTTTAACTTTTAAGAGAAAAATGTGAAAGGACGACACAGCTTTGTTGTCACAAAACTGAAGGTAACTCTGGAGGTTGAGTTGCTAGTAACGACTCCACCGAGTTCGGTGGAATGGTGACAGCATCCAGTAGAGCCATACTGGCTGAAAACGCAGCTCCTCATCAGAAGGTCAACTCGAAAGCATAAAAGAGGAATGGCAAAGTGCATATTCACAAGAGTTACCCAAAGTTTGGATAATTTGAGTTGGGGATAAGGAGGTTGCTGAGGTCACTGAGTCATGCCAATCTGCTTTTGTGGACTTTATTATACTTATGGGCCTCGGGCAGGGTCACATTGCATGCCACCCTCCCCCCCCCCCCCCCCCTTCCCCCCCCTTTTTTTTTTTTTTCCCCCACTGTTCTAAACCATTATCGTTAGGACCATGCCTCGAAACTTGCAGCTGAGGCTGCATTTCCGATGTACAGGCCTCACAGGAACCCATTAGATCAGTCCATGACCTGAAAAATTATGTTTCACAATAAATGAACCCCTAGGCAGTGGTGGTTTTACACGAAAGAAAAGCAAAAAGATTCTGAAGGATCCCAAAGAAAATCAAATAGGATTCAAAGTATCCCAAAGAACAGAGGGCCCCTAACAGCCATTTGGTTGAAACGAACATTTTATATTTTTTGAATGAAATTGAAACCTACTTATTTGGCCTTAAACCACCAGTACTTGGCCCATACATCGGCCGCAGGGCGTTGTCGTTAACGCCCCGCAACTTCCGCGGATCGGGAAAGGCCCGGCAGTGCAATGGAGGAAGATGCTGTTGGGCCCAAGGAAAAGGGCAAGTGGGCATGTGTTTCCACATGCACGGCTGCAGTATTGGCCAGACAAGGAAAATAAAACAGAAACAAATGAAACGAGAAGTCCTGTGAAAAGGAAAAAAGAAAAACAAAGATGTACCCGCCACTTGCCGGGAAGAAGGGAAGAAAACGCCCTGCAGACAAGGAAAAGAAAACAGAAACAAATGAAAACGAGAAGTGCTGTGAAAAAAAAAAAAAAGATACACCCGCCACTTGGCAGGCAGAAGGAAAGAAAATGTCCTTCAGGCTCCTGTACGATATTGTTCCACTGTGAATCCTCCTAAAGAAAATGGAAAGCTTCATGTGGTCATAACTGTATTGTAGCTGAGGGATCGGTTGGTTGTCAGAGGCCCGCCACTCACGGCAGGCCTGGAGGAAGCATCCGTTGCCCCTTTCTCCACTACTCCCCACATGCCCACACCTCAAATGTACTTTCCATGTTCTAGTGGAGGATTCAGTCTCATTTTGCACATTTGGAGAGTAGTGGAGTGAGGGCAAATCAAGGGCCTTGCTGCCCTACTCTCCAAATGTGCAAAATGAGACTGCATCCTCCGCTAGAACATGGAAAAGTACATTCCAAGGACTTCCTCGTGTGGGCATGTGGGGAGTAGTGGAGGAAAGCCCAACGGCCGTTTTCCTCCAGGCTTGCCATGAGAGGCGGGCCTCTGACGATGCTGAGGGATCAGTTTCTTCTTTTTTAGGTCTTTTTTTTTTGGTGAAAGAGAATCCTTGGCCTTTTCTGACGTGAACTCCCTGTGAGTGACGGGGAGCAATCGAGGCCTTGGTGTTTCCTTTTTGTTTGCCTCGTGCTGCTCTTTCGCGAATGCATCTGACTGCACTTGTGGCCAGGTCGGCGATACTGCACGAGTGGAAACACTGCACGATTTTGTTCCGGCTGTTGGCAGCAGGTCCAGCGTAAGACGCGGTACCTGTGCCAAACGAAAAATGTCCCCTACGGGTTCCCATCCCCTCCAGGCTCGGCAGAGCTTGGCGCGCAGGACATATTTCGGCTTGGCATCAATAGCTGGGCCAAGTACTGGTGGCTTAAGAATGTCACTGTCTGAAAACGCCGAACCCCCTTAGATGTATCTGGACTTCGTCTAAGTCCAGATGGACACTCAGGAGCTAAAACAGTGACATCTTGATTATCTTGAGGGTCAAATAAGTAGGTTTTAATTTCGTTCAAAAAAAATAAAAAATTCTGAAATGGATGTTCCTTGTACTTCCTGCTCTGCTCATCAACAGCGCTTCTCACCCAAACAAGCGCCCGCATGCACGGCTCATCTACGAAGACCACCTTCACCTCCACTGACCATTGCGCCCAAGCTCGGCTATGGCTGGCTTGGCGCTGCTCTGCCATGAACAGCGCTTCTCACCCAAACAAGCGCCCGCATGCACCTGGGCTCCAAACTAGCGGCCGCGAGCGCTCTTTCCAGCAGCGCTGCCACACAGCATGCAAGTGCCCGAATGATCTCCACACTGCCTGGCTCTTTCCTATATGGAAAGTGGCCAGGCCCAATTACTACCAGGACTGGAAGGCTCGTGTGCCTAGTAGCTTCACATTGGGCCAAAGTGTCTGCGGCAGGCCCAATTCAGACAGTGGTCTGGGACCGAAACAGTTAGGAGAGCCCAACTGCCAGACGTGGCTTGAGTAGCTCTCTGCGATGTGATTGGCCGGAAGGCCTGCTCCCATGTTGAGCCTGGATGAGCGTAGAAGGCTCATGAAGTCACGGTTGCATGCATGCAGGGCCCATGTAACAAACTGGCGCGTGGTAACTGTCTGGCGCTATGAGGGCCTCAAAATGACAAAATTTAGACCTCATTGCATTGTGCAGACCTGCCTTCACTTAGGGCGGCCGCAAGGCTTGCTGAAGGGCCCCATGAGGGCCTGCCGAGGACAGAGATCCTCACACATGTAGTCAGAAGAAGACAAAAACAAGTTAAAAAAACCCTTGAATGCTTATATCCTGCTGTTACTTAGGACAAAACATCGGACATTTGTTTTCATGATGTCTTCTGCTTCGTCCTGCTCCTCAAGTCTTTTTCTTTCTTCTTTTTGAATGAGAACTCTCCGATCTATTTTTGTGGAGTAGCACGTGCTGGGAAATGGGCCCAGCATCCCTGGCATCCCTCATACAAGAGAATGACAGCTAGAAACTGCTGGATGAACAGCATTGATTACCCCCAGCCAGTAGCCAAAGGGGACCGTCACCACTCCAAACCCGAGTCGAATGGGTTTACCCACCCCCAAAAGAACACTCCCACTGGGCCTTGCCTTCAGATAACCCCCTGAATTTAGTCTCTCAGGCTTCTAGCAAGTTCTGGACTTATGGAGAGTTGTTCAGTACGGAAACTTGATAAGCAGGGAAAAATGGTATTAGAAAGTTTCACTCGCGTATGTTCTACAGTGGTTCTGAGTTCTTTAGACTGTCAGAATTCCAGGGGTTGCTGTTTGGAAGGCCATGGAAGTCTCAGAGTTTGTATCCATGACATGCAACTCAATGCACGCAGTCTCTTCTCTTGAACTCAGCACTTGCATCCGGATTTTGCAGGTCTCGCATGCAAGGCACCAACTGACTGGTGATGTACATTTAGTTATCCCGACTCTACCGACAGATATTGCACGTCCAGAAGAAGACTATGACCTCATTCTGCAGGTACTAGAACTCTTCCCTGTTTCCTTGTTTGTGAACATTTTGGCAGGTTAAAGCCCTTTAGACTTTAGTACTTTTTTGCGATGGAAACACATGTGCAAGGAAAATGAGTGAGAGCGAAAGACAGAAAACCAAATGGCAACATTACGTTGAAGACCAAATAGTCGTGTACCAAGCAGAAAGTAAAATGCACCGATACAAGCCAAATGAGAGCAATGCAATGAACTCAAATGTCAATGCCAGCCGCAAACTTGCCGCCATCAACAGTGTCCAATGTCGCTCTTATGTTATGGCGCTCAAAGCCAAGCCTACCACTACTCAGCACCTATACTAGCTTACCGTATGAAGATGCAACCAGGAAAAGCTCCAGCAGCTGACTAATGTACATGACGAAGTCGCCCATGCAGACCACTGCATACAGATCAGGTACTCGTCTCCCCTCACCCTCCCTCTCACATCCTGACCCCCACAGTCAGTCTCTCCCCTGCCTAAGGACCTCCACATCACCCCAACGGGTTCCAGCGAGGTCAGTCTGACTATGGCTGCCACGCGCACTGACTTTGGTCAGCGCTGAACCGGCACCCGTGTGCGCTTCTGCCGGTCACTCCCTCATCGAGTCGTCAACGCAGCAGTGGTTCCGCAAGGGAACTCCAGACTGAATGTCTGGAGGGCGGGCTGCTCTTTCCTATATGGAAGGAGCCCGGCGAGTCGGGTTCCCTCCAGCCTCATGTTGGGACCCAGTATCTGAAAATGGACTGGGCCTAACAGTTGAGGTCTCCCAGACATGCAACGTGGCACACACTGTTTGCTGTGCTCACGTTGGTCGAGAGCCAGCTTGTGACATTGTGACATGGGTGAGCCACGTCGACCAGCCCTGGGCCTTGTCGCACATGCACTGAAAAAGTGCAGATCGTGTCCAGAGCCCACAGGCTCAAGAAAACCCGTCCGCGACCCCAAAACCCATGAAAAGTCAAAGAGGGGTGGGGGTAGATCGATAGGGTCCTTGCGGGGGCCAAAAATCCTCGCACATGAAGTTTGTGAGCTTTTATCTGAACTCTACATCATAGCTGGGGATATGACTTTCGGAGTGGAATGTGATGAATTGCCACATTGAACTCAGTGAATGCTCTGAGTCAAATATGCACAATCCAAAACAAAATGCACATTTGAAAATTGAAAGTGAAATTTCAATCCAAATGCCATCAGGCCAAGGTTTCTCATATAGACTTTTTTAAGTTTTTTAACTTTTTTAACTTTTTTTTTTTTTTTTTTTTTTTTTTAATACATTCTGGCTCCTTTTCCATTCTGGGGAGCATCAGTCCGGTTCCTATTCCACCAGCAAGTCAGAAAGGATACAACGAGGACTCACACACGCTCCTCCCCCTTATGGTGGGAATGTCCAACGGGCAGCATTGATTACTTCCCGAGGGAAGGATGTTCCACCCCTCACCCCTGCCTAAGTTAGCCTGATTGACGTACTCTTGAACTCTTCTGTTTTTTTCTCTTACGGTCCTGCTCATAGCTGTTTATAGCCTAACCGTGGGAACCATCTCTAACTTGCCCCTCTCAGCTGCCTGGCTGTCGGATTTGCATGGGTTGATGGGACAGCTAGTTCAACTTTTCTTTGCGTACTTTATTAAAACCCTAAATCCTGTAATCTTAGACCTCTGGGTAGCTCTGGTCTACAGCCCTGTGATATCTCTGTGACTATTTGTACTGCAGTCCTACTCTAAATTCTCTCATTGTCCGGTACGATTCCTCGTTCTGGCACTGGCTGACCTTGAACCCTAGGGGAACTACAACAGACTTGGCAGTTTTGCGTGCTAGGCCTGTGCCCTACTTGTCTTCTGCTTGTGGCCTATACTCGTATATTCTTGCTTTAGGCGCAAGCGCCTGCCCTTCTACTGTGTCCTTCAGTAACCTACTGAGCTGTGAGGATTCTTGTTTGGCGCCTGTGGACGTGTCAGTGAGGTACGCTCAGTGATGGCACTGCGTTGCAATCAGTGTGATCAGTGTCTCAGTATTCCTGTTTTTATTCCTGCCCCGTACCCCATTGCAAGGAAGATGAGCAATAGCGAACTTCAGCAATCAAACAGCATCGTATACACAAGACCAGATAGTCGTGACCGCGAACCAACAGCAGAATTGCACCACGAGTTTCACCAAATAAGAAGACATCAAGAGCTCATAATTGACAATGCTGGTAAAGTCTCATCATCATCATCAATGAAGAACCAATGTTGATATTCTATCTGGCGGCGCCCAGACTACAGATGGCAGATCCTATCTAGCCTAGACTACAATGCTGAATGATGACGACAACAGCTTTCCCGAAGTACAAGCATACATCGACCAATGTCGCACGCTTCCAGCACCAGGTATGTCTCTCGCCTCACTCACAACCTCGTTCCCCAACACACAGATGCCACTTGCACCCAAGGACCACCCTGCGCCACACCCAGCTTACAGCAGCGCAGCTCGGCTATGGCTGCCTGCCCCTTCCTGCTCGCCCGTGAGCACGTGAGTGCCAGCGAGCTTCAGCGCAGCAGCGCTTGCGCAGCATGCAGCTAGCACCCGAAATGTCCAATGTGGAGGCAGGCCCTTTGCTATATCGAAGTGGCCTGCCTGCGTTCAGTCCCAGGAAGCTTCCAGTAGGTCCCGGTAGCCTGAGGCCCAGCACGAACGAGAACAGGCCTTGGCCCTGAGGTGGTTGCACGCACCCAACTGCCTTTGGCCTGTGTTTGGCCCAGTACCCGTATCCAGCCCAGGGCCTGCTATCCATACATTCACACAGGCGGCCCAGGGCCTGGGTTCTCTCGACCAACTGGCGCTGCGCAACTGCCTGAATTTCCTTAGTTGCGCAGTGGCCGAAATAGGGCCCTGAGGGCCTCGTCGAGCCTGCCTTCACTTAGGGCGGCCGACTTGCTCCGAAATGGGGCCGAATGGGGCTCATAGAGGCAGTGGCCCCGCACCATATTCTCTGTCTCTATCCTTTGTCCCTTCCTGGTTGTGGTGGTGTTAGACTGAGGATATCTTGAATTCGGAGGATGCTGCTGTGCTAATGCTCCTAAGGTTGTTTGATGCGTTGTTTTGCTGCCCTGCCCCGCCCCCCAGAGTGAGAAAACTAGACTAGTGCCCCTGATGACCGCTACTTTGCCCTTTGCTAATTAGTTCTCTAACTTCTCTTCAAATTTGTATTGGTATTCCGTGGCTTTATCTTCGTTGTCTGCCATCTTTTTCCTCACCTTTCTCCACAAGACCCAGTATCCCGTCTCTACTTGTTGTTGTAGTAGAGTCCATGATTCTTGGACTTGCATCCTACTCTTATCGATAGTCTCTTGGCATCTCTTTTCCCATGTGATCCATAGTGCCACTTTTCTCAGCGCGTGAAAAAGGGTTCTCTCTCCTGCTAGTCCTGTGTTTGTGTTGTCAAGTCCATGTAGGATCAGTGGAAGACTGTCGGGTAGATATGCGTTAGTTACTTTTTTCCAAATAGCTGCCACTCTTTCCCATATTGGTTGTATTCTGGGACATTGCAGGAAGCAGTGCACCAGGTTTTCTACCTGTCCTTCTGTGCAAGTGGCGCACAGTTCATTGATGGGGTTTCTATCCTCTCTTTTTCTTCTAACGTTCTAACGTTCAACCATTGATTCACTGGGACTGCTAGAGATAGTAGATTAGCCATCGTACTATGATCGTAGGCTTTTGGTGCACGGTGGCTATTCTATCCCAAGATAGTGGAATATAGTTGGAGAGGTCAATATTTACTATTTACTATTTAGGTGCTTCCACCACCGTTCCCGTGCTATGTGGTCTGGGTTTTCTGATCTTCTTCTGAGTCTATATCCAAGGCTTGTGGTGTATTCTAAAAGGTCATGCTTTTTGGAGATTCCCCTTGACCCCTGTCTTGTATTCCATGTCCATTCTGCGGGGTCGATTCTAAATTTTCTAGAGCCACCTGTGGGTGGAATATTGTAGGCTCCTCGTTCTCAACTACTCTTATTTTTTCTAACCAGTTCCTTGCGTATGGTTACTTGGTGCTTCTGTTTTCTTGCTTAGTTTACTGAAATTTGCTCCCGGGTCTTCTATTTCATGATTGTGAATCTGATACAATTTCCCTTTCCTTCTTCTTCCCCCCAGAATGTTAGCGCGTATTCCTGTAGGCCTGGTTGGGTCATTACTGCCCAGTCCCTTACTGTCCAGCCGCTATTGGCATATTGCCCTTCAGAATTTCTACCCACTCTGCTGGTATGGCCGTCAATACGTCTCTGCTGTTCCTGGCTAGATGGTGGCATCTTTTAAGGAGGAACCTAAGATCTTTCTCGCTTTTCCATTCTTTGGTCGAGTCCTCCCACAGGTGCTTGACTTGCCATACTTCTTTTCTTATCCATGCTCCCCATCTAGTGTCCATTGACTCCATTGTTATTAGGGTAAGAGGGAGTGACTTGCCATACTTCTTTTCCTACCCATGCTCCCCATCTAGTGTCCATTGACTTCATTGTTATTAGGGTAAGAGGGAGTCCTTGTGTATTTGTAAGCCAGGGGTTGCAAAAGAGTGGTTGTTTGAGGACCTCTTCTTTGTTGGAAGACTTTAGAAGGGAATATTTATCTCCAGTCTTTAAGAATTTCCTTCCAAAATACCAATCTGTCATTTGTTCTTTGGCGATGGATTTCTCTTGGTGCTTTCTTCATGGACCACTTCCATGTTGCTAGGAGTAGGATATACTGGGAGTTGCTGGATGCCTGACAATGCTACTGGTGTTGATGGTATGCTCGGTCTGGTTACTAGTTTTAGTATCCACTTAGTTTGGAGAGCCTTGATCTGAGTTATGGGATGGATTAGACCGCCTCGGTGTTTTTTACTCATATTTCCAGGCTACTTTGTTGATGAAGTTCTGCTTGGATGGGTCCCCTGTCCATAAGTAGGCCGTTGATTTCTTCTTCGAGTTCCTTTAGAGAGTCTGGGTTAGGTGACCAGAATGCTGCTACATACCACATCATATAGACTTATTACATATAAAACCTTCAATTGAGAACGTTGGTCCTTCAAGCACTACCAGCCCATACTAGGTAGCTACATTGCCTGGGAAAGCAGGCGTAGGACACGCAAAATAAAGTCGCTGAGCTAAGCCACGGCGGGGTCCAATATTTGATGAATTGGGCGGTTCTGAAATCTCCTCCCAGAGCGGCGAATGACGCAAAGGACAGAAGGTGTTTGGAAGGGTCTAAGTCAGAAATCACGCACCAGGTAATGCAGGTTTGAGTGATCCTAACAGATGGGGGGGTGGGGGCAGGGAAGACATGCTGTGAGTGGATGCAGACTCGCAATATGATCCCTAGAGAAAATGGAAGCACTATGTGTTGTTACAAGTAGCTCCTGGGCTTCAAAAATTCAATACATATCATCCTGGTGGAGATCGAAGGCCAGGGAATGTCGTCTTAATCTTTCAAGTCAGAAACCGGTCTGAGTGTGGTAATCCGCCGTTTTGAACTTCACAGATGATTCTTCCTCTAAAATCAGGTTGTATACGATCATCTCAAGTGGCTTGTGCTCGGTTATTCTCTTGATTATCCATTTCTATTTGAGTATTCTTTGTATCATTTAGTTCAGTTCATTGTCTTGATGGGATGCTGGACCCGTTCTCCAGCCTGATGTGTCTTGTTGGTATCTTAAACCACCAGTACACCCGAGCCTGGTGGGCTCACACTGTGCGTCAAGCTTTGCTGAATCGTCAGCGGTGCACTTTTCTTATTTTTTCTGGCTGGTGCAACCAGCCATTGTGGTCTGCTATCCCTGAGACTCGGAAATTTTACGAGTGAGCCCTTCGGCGTTTCAAGCCAAAACAGGTAATGCTCACATATATCTCTTAAAAGAAAAGGAGGTATGGGGTTCTTTAGTTAGGGGATTGTACAGAGCCCTACTAACCCCTCTTCCCCCATGTACAAGCATTTTATGGCAAGTGCCAAAGGGTGTATGGAAGATACTTGTGCCTTAAACCACCAGTACCTGGCCCAGCTATCGAGTCCGAGCCTCGGCCGACCGGTACGCCGATCCGTGCCGAGGCTCGGACTACCGGGCGCAGGAATCCCGAACGTGCAAAACGTACACAACGGAAAAAACGGGCAAAAAAAAACGAAAAAAAAACAAAGAAATAAGAAAAGCGATTGAGTTCATCTTCCCGCTATCGTTTCGAAAAACAAAACGGGAATGCATCTTCCCGCTTTCGCGGGAACATGCACTCCCATTTCGTTTCTCGAAGAGAGAGAGAGAGAGAGAGAGAGAGAGAGAGAGAGAGAGAGAGAGAGAGAGAGAGAGAGAGAGAGGGG